GAGGTTAATGTTATTGTTCGTTTCTGTGTCTGTGGTAGCTAACGACGATTTCATGATGTTTACAGCATGGGACATTGTTTACAGTGAACCAAATCCCATTGTAAAAAATGAAAGTCATACGTCATATGGGACCCATATTGAATAGAAGGCGACCCTTTAAGTATAAATCAGATTCCTGTTTATGGGTAAAATTAAGATAAAGCGTGATACTACCCGAAGCAAGAATTATTAATAATAATACATCTTTCATCTTCGTACTCAACTGACTTGTCTGTGAATAAACACTAATTTATATCAGAGTTGAAGTATAAGATTTGTTTTCGTTTCAATGGTAGATGATGGTAGTCAAGGCGATGTCATATCATTTACAGTATGGGACCACGGTGAGCCGAATCCCAGTGAAGCGAACGCAGGTCAATACGTTGCCATGGTGATGGATGAAACAAATAGTGTTGATACATGGGCGTGGTATGATTGGAATTATTTAGATCATCATTCATTTATTTGTGAATTTGGTAAGTGCTTATAATGTTATAATGAAATCCTGCTTGTCCTTTTTTGTTTTTGTAATAAGCTATTTATAAAGGTCGCGTCTTCTAGAAACATTTGTCTTTATTAAATTAGTTTCTGGTGTCGTGCCTTGATATTTTCGTGGCATGTTCATTCTAAGGATTTAATAACATTCTTAGAACTCTTAAGTGTCGAAATATTTATTAATTCATGTTACAGCTATTGGGGAATCTGGATGTTCTGATGTACAGCACAACAACGGAGATGCATACTCTACTATTCTTATCGGAGATAGATGCTACTCATTTCAGCTTATGGTAACCAACTGTCCTGGAACGAGGCTGTAGATTGGTGCTATATTCGTAACGGTAGTCTTGTAAGGTTTGAAACTCCAACAGAGTGGGACAGTGTATATGAATATATAAATATGAATATATCTGAACATGACAGTCCAATATGGACCGGAGGATGTTGTTATGGAAATATTAGTGCTGGGGAATGTGATTATGATTGTAATTGGTATTGGATAGAAGGTAGGACATATTTGAATGTCTTATATTTAGGTCCAATCACCGCGACTCTGGAAAAATTTGTTGCGATGATTATTGAGACACTGTCGGGAAAGATTGAAAATATTTAATTTGGTTCATTATCAATACGTCATTTATCCATTTTATTTCATAGATGCATTCTCCTTTTGCAAATATGTCTTGTATTATCCCCTGACCAATGTCTACACCAACAAATGCACAATATGAATTTGAGTGACCCCTTCAATTAACTAGATTTGTAACACAATAGACATTAACTGAGTAATGAGGCTTGAATGTCAGCTACATTGTAGGTATTTTTGTGTAAAGGGATAAGAACTCTCAGTAATTTCAAAATGAAATGCGTGGAAATGTGAGGGCGCGATAACTACTTTTGATATGTATATTGTAAAATGGGTATTCAGCTTCAAAGCGCCACAATTGTGGTGAAGGGCGTTTGTATTTCGTATAAACAACTGACTTGTCTGTGAATAAACACTAATTAGAGTTGAAGTATAAAATTGGTTTTCATTTCAATGGTAGATGATGGTAGTCAAGGCGATGTCATATCATTTACAGTATGGGACCACGGTGAACCGAATCCCAGTGAAGCGGACGCAGGTCAATACGTTGCCATGGTTATGGATGAAACAAATAGTGTTGATACATGGGCATGGTATGATTGGAATTATTTAGATCATCATTCATTTATTTGTGAATTTAGTAAGTTTTAAATATTATAATACGCACTAAATCTAATACAAGTTTCCATGAATATGATGGGATTCTAACCACGATACTAACAGTTATCACGCCTTTTTTGTGGCAGACTTATCTCTGGTTGTATATTCGACACCATCAACAACATATAAAACAACAAGTACGCAAGAATCGCCTTCC